ACACACATGTACACACATGTACACACACGTACACACATGTACACACACGCGCTACGGATAAGCGCTGACGCAGCGCGGTGCTTCCCGCGGCGCTACCGCCCCCTGGCGGCCAGCGGAGGCGCAGCCGCTCTCGCACCAGAGACAGAGAGACGGCCGCTAGGGGGCGCTGCCGCCGGCGGTTCCTCGGGGAAAGCGCTGCGCTGCTCAGCTCGGTGCGGAGCGGCGCTGCCGCAAGGAGTCAGGCCGTGGAAAAGCTTTGCGGTAGTGTTTGAAACAAAGAAGCAGCGCTCACTGACACGGCCGAGTGTGACTTCGGGCTTTTGCTGCGTGTTTACATTTCATTCCTCCCTGTGATCGTAAAGAAAACGAGGCCGCGCTTGAGAGAAACGGGAGGGAGCAGAACGCGGAGCTGCGGATCATCGGCAGCCACCGAGAGCACAGCCAGAGCTGCCGCCATCTGTGCGTGCCCAGCGGGGCTGGCGATGTCCCAGTAGGGACGGCGATGTCCCAGCGGAGCTGGCTGCATCCCTCATGCCGGATCCCGCCGACACAAGGGGTCACACACGAGCCGTGCTCCACTCCTGAGCTCTGGGTTCAACAGCAAATGCATCCCCAGCAGCTTTGCCATGAGGGAAATGGATGAGTAACCGACCCCAGCTGTTACACGCGCAGCCCATCCTAAGGGAATCTTCACTTCTTTTCCAGGGGGAGCTGCTAGGATTGATGTTTTGTTCCTGGCTGGAATAGTGTTGCACAGCTCGGTGAGGGGGGAGCCTCCCAAAGCTGCAGCCCAAGAAGTGTGTGGGCAGAGGATACCCTTTATTTTCCCTCTGCTTGCTCGTTTTTATCACGCAGTTTATTTTGGGGTACTTGAACTGTTGCAAAGTTCCTGAAGGCAGCACAGGTGATGTGACACAGAATGTGTTGATGTGGAGCGCCTGCAGCAACAGGCAGAGCTGCGGGGCCAGGAGGAGGAGGAGGAGGAGGAGGAGGAGGAGGAGGACTGCAACAGGACTGCAAGAGGCAGCGTGCGAGGTATAGAAAATGTGATGTGAAAAAAGATGAAGGAATTGAGTTTAAGTCTAGGGGAGAATAAAGAAAGGGGAGGAGTGACTGTTTGCACACATGTGAAACCTTGCTCTAAGGGCTCTTCTCTGAGCACGCTGCAGACAGGACAGGGAGTAACGGGCTTAAATTATAGCAAAGATGATGAATACAGCTTAAATAGCAGAAAAAAACAAGTTTAGGAAGGCAGAGGGTGAAATACAGAAATAAACTGCCTGGGAGGATTGTGAAATCCCTGTTGTTAGAGGCTGTTTGGAACAGGTTGGACAAGCCCATCAGGAATGACAGGCAGAGTTCATCCTGCCTGCAGGCAGAGGATGGGATAAAAATATCTGAGTCCCTTCAAGCTTTATTTTCAGTGATGTAGCAGAAGGCTGATTAAGCTGCTCAGCAACACCATCAGCTTCAAGACAAAGGGCATTTTGTTCAGTCAAACATTCATGGGTGCAGGCATGCATTTAATAAAAAATCTGTATTCCCTTCCTAAACTCATCTTCAGCTTCCTGGGTGTATGCTTTTTAATTTCAGAGGATGGCTGAGCCCCCTGAGCAATAACATTTAGTCCTTTCCAGTGTTGTGGCTGCTTGAAGCCCAATGTACCACAGATTCTCTAAGTTCACTGGGCAATGTGGGTTGGGTTTCATCACTGGTGTTAATCACTGGTGAAGTCGCTCACTAATTACCAGTGCTCTCCCTCCAAGCAGCCATGGGCTGGGCTGGGCATCCTGTCAGGGATGAGGCTCAGTTGGTGGCTGGCAGAGCCAAGGGAGCTGCATGCTGTGCCCATCACTGCCTGCACACCAAACCTCTGCATCACACCTGGGCTGAACAGGACACAGAGAGCAAGAAGAGTTCTGCACAGCTGAGGCCACTAATTCAGCAGGTCCCTGCTAATGGCTTTTCACATACATGAAAACGTGAGGGATTCTTTTCAAAGGCACCTAAAGGATTTGGGAGCACAAAGCCACTGCCAGCATGGCTCACGCTGCTAAGCAACAAAGGCGTCTGCATATATCCTTCTGAGAGCACCCAGCCTCGTTAGAGGCAATGATGTAACTTCTGTTATAAAACTGGTGTTGGCTGCACTGCCAGCTTTTTACAAGAGGGTTCTGGATCCCCAACTCCTCAGTAATAACCAGCACCCTGGTTGTACAGACATGGCTGCTGCCTGTGCTGCACGCCATATAGGCTCACCTGCTGTGACACAAACCATCACTCAGTTCAGCACCAAAACACCATTTTGCTGCATCATACTACGAAAATCAGAATTCAGAAAATTCCTACTTTTGGGCTGTGTAGTGGAAATGCTGAGTCACAGCTTGAAGCAGTGATGGAGCACCTGGTGGGAAGGCAGGGCCAACCGAGGGGAGCTCAGGTGCATGCAATGAACCTGGCTGACTGGAAGGGGTGGAGCCAGGATCCTCCCCTTCCCAGCCCTCATTTAAGGGTTGGTATGGAAGCGAGAGCATCTCATCTGGAGATCCTTGTGTACCTGGGGCTTCCTGAAGGTAGGCAGCTTTTTTCCTTTATTTCTGCATACACAGCTTCTGTGTTTGAGCATATGTTCACTTGCTGCAGCTTAGGACTTTGTTATTCTGCTGTCATTGCTGTGCTTTCTATCACATTACAGCGTTATGGGCTGCTTTGCATGGAGGTAGTGAGACCAGCATACTGCGTTAGTCCAGAGTATGCACAGCATGGATGTTTTAAGGAGCTTCACTTGATCTTGGTGCTGAATTTTTGATGTGTGGCTGACGCTGAGTAACCTGGGAGCGTTTGGCCCTGGGTGTGGAGCTGCTGCTGCACCACAGGCACTGCAATTGGGCTGCACCCGTCCTAATGAATTAAAAGCATCCAAATGCTTGCAAGTAGCCACGAGTGAACATTACAGGTACTTCATGTGCATTCCCTTTTCAGACCATGACAGCACTCAGTGAATTCAGTCAGAGACATTCTGAAAAGGGAAAGCAAACTTTTCTTCTAGTAAGAAAAGAATGACAGCAAACAGCCTCTGGCTGCTAAGAACAACTGTCCATGCCACGAAGCAATCAACTTGCTTAACTTCCCAGGAAATGCACGGAGCAGGCAGCATCTGTCTGCTCTTCCTGGTCATTCTTCTGCTATTTTTAATCTTATGACACCTATTGACAGCAAAAGCAATTAACAGGCAGAGGCTAACATCCTGCATGCCCTTAAAAAATAGCAAAGCATGGAGAAAGGACTTAGTCAAGCACATGATGTGAACATGACAGCCTTGGCCTCCCAAGAAATCGTGTGGCTAAATAAAGAATTGTGTAGGTGACTCAGAGGAAGGGTCCTGGGTGCAATTTAAGCAAAAGGTTTAAGAGAAAAGCCTCTCCGGGGAGCTTAGCGCCTTCTGCTCCACTTGTTCATTATTCTCCTGCCCCATGTATCTCAGTAAGGAGCGGCACAGGAATGCTATCACACCTGTGTGATTTACAAATCAAATATCAGCACTGTAGTTCTGTTCCTAGCCGTGAGTTGTGCAGGAAAGCAGGAACACACCAGGAATGCACAGCAGTCAGGCGCTGCTCCCCACTGATGTGCTGCAGTGGGGGCTTCTCTGGAAAGACCCACAAACACCAATGCTTCTCTCACTGCTGCGTTTTGACGCAGTGTCCTTGTTGCACATCCTAAACCCTGGAGGCATGGAAGTAGAGGAGCAAATGCTGTTAAGACATTTTTAAAGACGTTTGCTTCCAGAAGAAACTGCTCTGTTACTGCAGGAAGCGTTAGTAGAAAGAGCACCACTGCTACCTCTGGGAGCCCAGGGGAGAGGTTGGGGACTGGGACACAGAGGCTGATTGACACAACGCTGGTTTGTGGGCAACTGTATTTTCAGTTCAGCTTGTCTGTGATTTATCCTTATAGGTGTAGCACTGCATAAGAGGAAGGTTATGTTCCAGGGTAGCTTACTTGAACAAAGCCCCTGTGACTGAGAAAGTTAATCTAGAACGGCAAAGCTGAAGTAGTAAGGTCCCAACATGGATCAAAACATGAAGTCTTTTGCTGCCCTGACATCCAATGGGATCCTCTGGATTGTAATCCTACTGTTCTCAGTTGTAAGAGCTGAGTGAGAAAAACCTCTGTGAAGGGGTCAGTACATTGCAGCCCTGATCTCCTGTGCAAGGACTGGCAACAGCCTCAGCCCCTGCTGTGCCTGCACAAATGGTGGGGGCAAGAAATACAAGAATACAAGGGTTTCCAAATTGCACAAAATATTTATTGTTAGTTTAGTACATTCAATATCATATCGACTAGATTACAGTAATTCAAAATATTTTTGGCGAATTGAAATCTTTAAAAACCATTTCAAACACTCCAAAAAGCAATGCCATGAAAAATTAAATCAAACGTATTCAAGCCATGGTTTCACTTTAGACTACAGGAAACCTTTACGTGTGTTTTAGTGGTTTTAACAGTACTGCGTTTAAACAAAAGGTTTGAAATCACCAAGTGGAAAAATCCTAAAGTAGACACAATGTTAAAAAAACTGAGGCATCCCAATGTGTGAGCACTACAGATTACCTGCCCCGCTGCCCTGCTCGTAGCCATGGGGCAGCTGCTCAGCCTGCTAACACTGCACAACTCTTCAGTGCCTTGAAGATGAAGTTTGTCCCTCTTCTAAATTCTGTTTACAGAAGAATCTACCTTAAATTGTGCATCCCCCCCCGGCAAATCTAGCTGCAGTATTAAGTGGTACCTTGAAAAACGCCCCTGCCTTGCTGCTCATCAGTGGCAGATAGATAGGCAATGTTCAGAACGAAATCTGAAAAAGGCAACACGTTTTGGTTTTGTTTTCAAATACTGACATGAAAAACTGAGAAAATTAGAAAAAGGATCAAGTCAATCTTAATATAAGACATTCATTATATAGTGGGACAGAGAACAATTATCAGATAAACAGTATTACAATGACTCTTCTACATCTGGCCATTTAACGCACATTCTACAGTCATGACTTTCTACCACATTTTATTTTCCTGTACAGAAGGACAGAAATACAAGTAAATACCAGTTTTATTCTGTGTTTTAAGTCCCAGAATGACAAGTGACACTGCATCAAGTTCTTTCACCTTTCCTTCCTAGAAGGCTGTGCTGAGGAGAGCCAACAGCCATGGACTCCCCCTGCTTGGCCACTACTGTCTGCTGCTCTGACCTGCATTTCCTCACACATCAGCCACAGCCGCAGGGAAAGCTGCTGGGAACTGTCTTTGTCAGCCAGTTTAGAATCCCTTCGAAAAACTGGAGCCTTAATATTCCAGCACCAATGTCCATGCTCTGGGGAAATTACCAACTTTGTTTTGCAGGGAGGCGAATTAGTCGACTGCCCTCATTAACGCTGCTGCTCTCTGATAAGCTGGCTTCCTCACACTGCTGCCCTATTTATTGCACAGCACCGAGGCAGACTGGCAATCCTGAAGAACTACTTAATGCCAATTTCTTCCAACACGCTTCATTTCCATCACAGATAAAGCCAAATTAAGGTGCTGTTTAAGTGGTATTATAGATAAGCACAACAATAGCACATTAAAACTCAGCAGAAGAGCATTTATGCGTTAGTTTGTAAAAGTGGTTATAATTACACCTATGCTCCAACCCTTGGAAGAGGTACCATGTTTGCCTGTCAGTACAGTATGTGGAATGTAACCATTTCTTGCAAGGTTTTGCAATATGAGTAACTGCATAGATGAAGCTGCTTGTTTCCAGCTCAATAAGTGTACTTCTAAAGTTTACAAAAGCCCCCAGAAGTTTCTATAAAAGTCACATCATATCAAGATGATAGGTGGTGAAAGGAGATCGTTCACCTGTGTTTGTGTTCAACAAATGCTAGTGGAAAGGTGACAGAAACCGATTTCAAATCAAGAGCTCTGTTTTCACTATTGCACTGACTTCATTGGAATCGTTCATTTAGAAAAATTCACGTTGTTAAAAAATCACAAAGGTAAACTAGAATACAAAATTTCTTTGTAAACATCAGGTAGCCAGTTCTGCTCACATGGAATGGACTCTGAGTACTGCAGCACAGCTCCTCTGTCAGTTACAGCGTCGCCATCTGAAGGGCAACTCCAGGACACGCGCACAGCAGTTCACAGTAATCGTGTTCACAGAACTACCACAGTCAGTGCAGTTTCTCTGGGCCATTTCCCCCCGTTCCTGAAGTCAGTAATACTGTCACAAGGCCCCGTGCAGCTCTGCCCCCCGACAGATCACAAGTGACGAATGTCCGCAGGACTCCTGTAGAGGTACTTCCAGATGGCGTAGTAATGGACCGCGGCCGCCGTGGCCACGAAGACGTGCCAGATGGCGTGGGCAAAAGGAATGACGCCGTCGCTCTTGAAGAACACCACGCCCAGGCAGTAGATCGCACCTCCCCACGCCACCTCTGCCAGGCCTTCCGTGTTGCTCTGCCAATGAAGGACGCGTTAGGGATGGCAAGGAGGCAAGCAACGTTTTCTACACAACACGGCTGTCCTCATCGAGTCTGGAGCCCCAGCTGCTCTTATCTGAACTCTACAGCCCGGATTCAGCGAAGAGAGGCAGCGCTTCGCTGAATGGAAGCTGTAAATCCATGACATAGTTGGCTGTTTGGTTCTCCTGCAGAGAACATTTGTAATTATGGTAGACTAAAATTCAGATTTTCTCAGAAGCAGCAGAACTCAGACTAGTCATAAAAGGGAAGCCTGTGTTTGTAACGTCAATATTCGCATTCCTTACCATGGACGTCACTACCAGAGCAGGAGAAAATCCCATGGCCAAATAGAAGAAGAGTTCAATGATCTTATACCTAAAAATGGAACAGAAGTGAATCATTTCAGGTGATGTACAGGAATATGACCCTTTATTTCAGCACTAAAGAAAATGTATTCAATCTCACGTTAGCATGAGGCCATTAAACTATTCAAAAAGCTTTCTGCCCATTTTATTCTAAAAATAAAGCCAACATTTATCTCTGCATGCAGAGATCCACTAAATACTGCCTAGACGCATTCATTCCCGCTCAATGCTAGTGAGAATAAAACATTCTGTAAACTCATATCCTTATTTGAGAAGAAACTCAGTAGCTCTTCATCAAAACAAAGAACAGTTGGTCTTGTCCACTGAAAACAGAAGCAATGAAATCAGGCTCCAGAAACCAATGAAGGCACATTTCAGCAGGAATTCCTCCTCCTCCTCCGCCCAGTGTTACGCTGCAGTACAACCTGTACAGCACTTCATCCTTCTTACCTCACCCCTTCTCACTCCTGCTCTCTTGCAACAAAGACTTCAATCTGGATACCTGCCTCCCCCTCTTTAAGAGAAGACAGTAAAATAGCCTGAAGACACAGAGCATCTTTGAACAAGATACAACTTTGCATTGTTCTCATCACTTATCTCTGCCATCTTGAAGGTCTTTCTTCAAGGTGTGAAAGGCCAGACCCAACGCTCAGAAAGCAGAACAAAAGCCTCAGTTTAAAGTTAAATGCAAATAAGAATTCTTACTTTTCATGGTAGAGAAATACATAAACAGTGCCCCCAGCAGCCATCAGCCAGATAAACCAACGCATGTGAGATGCTAGAGGTCCAAGCTCACGAAGATTTAACCTGGAAGCACAAAGATTTCAACAGACAGGTTTAGTGAATGAATGGAGCACTCCAACACAAGAATACTGGGGCTTAATATAAATAAATATCCAGAACTACAGCTTAGACATGATGGGGAGAAGACTGTGGGCACGCATAAAGAGGCAAAAGCGTATTTCTGTTGATGTGAGGAAAGCACCAAGAGGGACAAACAACTCTGCTTTTTTTCTAATTACTTTCTGTTGAGCAAATCCCACAACATCACGACGTGTGTTTTTACAATGCAGAACATGGTCAGATGCGGCTATGGAAACTCCTACAGCAACTGGAAAGTTGCAAGGATAAAAGTGTTTACATGGAGTGCTTCAGAGTTAGAGGTTTCTTCCCCCCAGACTTCTTACCACGGTGCGTACGATGCTGCAATGAAGACGTAGATCATCATCCTGTCACACATGTGAAAGCAGTGCTCCATTGTCCTGGTGAGGGAGAGAACAAGTCAGCAGGGAGATCAGAGTATCACTGGTTTTTCCTGACACGTCTTAGAATTCAGGGGAAACACATTTAAAATCATTTGGAGCACCGTCCACTTTGCTTCAACCTCACAAGGCCATAAGCCAGACACACAGGAGATGAGCACTCTTTTATTTCTCTCCCTTTCCCTACCTCACCATACGTTGTACTCACAAGGAGGCAGAAAGCTGTCACATCAGACCTGCTTAATCCAGAAATGGATTAAGGAGAACTGGTTATCCAGTGATTGTGAGTTAAACCCAAATTCATGACCCAGAACTACATAGGTGTCATTAAAAAAAAACATCACATTTTAGTTTTGCTGTTGCTGCCTTTCTTCCAAGGCTGCTAGTCATGTATCCCATTTTCATTCTCTTAGCAAGCTCTGCATTACTCCAGGTACATGAAATAACATAGTCCCAAATAGTGTTCTTCTGAGGTGGGATTACATCCACCACACACATAGATTTTGTTCTTCCCACTCAACTACTAGATTAAGAGCCACAAGGGCTTCATAAATCAACATCAAAACACAGCAGACATACATCTGTTTGTACGTGAGCTTGGTTCATGTTTCTTTCAGCAGAATCAAGGGTTTGTTTGTTGCTCTTTTTTATGATTATGTGATTAAGTACAAGATACCACTCTGACCTTAGGCTGTAAAATTCCCAGTTTTTGGCCACAGTGTTAAAACCTCACAGAACCCGAGAGTCAAACATCTATACAAGAGCTACAGCCATACCTCAAGTGACTCTTTTTCCAAGAAACGATGTGAAACACTGTAGAGACAATGAAGAGTGCACAGAGCCCCATGCCATAGATCCATGCTGTTATTTTTTCCCATCGATCGTCGGAAAGTCGGTGGAGAAGGGCACTGCCCACAATTGCAGGAACAATGAGGAACTAAAACAAAAACCAAAAAAAGGCCATTAACTCTACTCACAGCAAATGTAGCGACCACCCACTGAACTGCAACAGCAGGGCAGAATGCTGCAGCACACCACAGGGGAACACGCACACACATCTGACGGCAGCCTCCCAGCTGCAAGGAGTTTTCCATTTAGTTGTACATCAGCACACAGGGGTTGAGATCTGACAGTGTCTCAGACAATGAAGCAATACCTGCTTGTGACAAATGCACTCTTACATGGGATTAGAATATGCTACTTGCTCCTCTCGGAATGATCAACTTTCTTATTCACATTTTGCTTCTTATTCCTAAAAAAGTTTTGATCTTACCCTAAGCTGTGCTCCAAAGCACCTCTTGTGCATAGAGGCTGAGCACAGGACAGACCAAAAGAAACTAAAATAGCAAATGAGTAAAAAAAATGAACATTTTAACATATGCAGGTAAATAGCTGGCAATGGAATTAACAAAGGCTTTGCAGAACTTGGGCTTTAGATACCAAACAAATCAGCTACAGACTGAGAGCCATAGAATGGTTTGGATGGGAAGGAACCTTTAAGATCATCCAGTCCCAACCCCCTACTACAGATAGGGACATCTCCCACCAGACCAGGTTGCTCACAGTCCCATCAGCTTCCAGGGATGCTTCCATTCACAACTCCACTGGACAACCCGTTCCAGTGTCTCACCACCCTCACAGTAAATAATTTCTTCCTATTATCTGGTCTAAATTTACCCTCTTCCAGTTTGAAGACTATTTCCCTTCTCCTGCTGCTACACACCCCACAAAAAGTCCCTCCCAGCTTTCTTGTAGGCCCCTCCAGGTACTGGAAGGCTGCTGTAAGGTCCCCCAGAGCCTTCTCTTCTCCAGGCTGAAGAGCCCCATCTCCCTCAGCCTGTCCTCATAAGGGAGGTGCTCCAGCCCTCTGATTATCTTTGTGGCTCTCCTCTGGACCTGCTCCCATACCTTCCTTGGCACAGTACTCAAGTGGGGACTTCTTTTGTGAAGATGCTTAATGCACAAACATGAAATTACGTTGCAGTGTATCCCAACCTGTTTTTCTTGCCACATCCTTGCTCAAGCAGCTTTAACTGTTTCTCCAGCACAGTGTGGAAATGCATTTAAAACTCCACTTCTTTTCCAGGTCAAGTTCTACCATCTCCCTTTGTCTCATTCAGAAAGAAAACACCAAGAGCCAAAGAGGATTTAAAGGAAGGAACCTGCTGACTCAGACATTTCTACCTGTCGCCTTTTACTATGAAGGAAAATCTTTGGCAGCCCTCCTGTTAAAAATTCTGCATCAGTTCCTTTTCAGACAGTTCACAGGTTAAATTCTTCATTGCTTAGCAGGCTAAACAAAGTCAGGAAGCAGCAATGTTTAAACAAATATGGCAATTCTGCTTTGCATTACAGGTTTGTTAGTTTAGAGTGCAAAGTTCTGGTCTAGCCAGTACTGTCTGTCCTTCATCTACCTGCAGACAAAAAATGGAGACTCACCACAGCTACAGCTCAGAAGATGAAAAGTGTACTGAATCAATCTGTAAAGCAGACGGTTAATCCAGAAAAAAAAGAGCTAAAAAAGACAAAATGTTACTTTTTCCTATGGATTTTGAAGTATACTGACTTCATTAACATTTTGTTCTCTTCTTTTTTGCAAAGATTTACATTTAAGCTGAAAGCTACACAGTCATACAATTGAGAAGTGTGGCATTCTTGCATCTGCAGCATTTGGACCAGAGGTGAAAATACTTTGAGTTTTGCAATGAGTCTGTGGAAGCTGACCTCATGCACTCTAAGGCCAAAAATAGTCTTCCAGCCTGGCTTCTCATTTGTCACAACCCATAAATTTCCATATACATATCCTGGACTGCTCTCCAATTTTAAAAAGGTTAAAGCATTTCACTCCTCAGGAGATCAGTTGCCCCTGTTTTCCACATATGGCATACGATTTAAAGTGTGGCTAAAGCCCCTAAGAACAGCAGGGAACTGATCAGATGTGACAGTTATTTCATTTCATATTTGCAGGAGGCACTTAGATTAAAAACAAAATCTGTTCCAGTCAACTGGACCAAAGTTCTTTAGTTCTTGCATCGTTGATGGACTTCATTACATCTAACATCTGTCTCAAGATTGTTTCTAATTACGAGATTGTAATTAGAAAACTCTCCAATGCAAGCATGGTATTTTAATCCTAAGGCAGAAGCAATTGGTCCTTTAAAGGGAGAGAGATTTAACAGAAGAAGTCAAAGCATCAGGACTAACAGAACTCGCACCGTGTGCTGCGTCACTGCAGGGGATGCCATGGCACGTCTCAGCTGCCAACGTTCCCACTAACAAAATTAGCCAAAATCAGGACAAGCTGTACTTCTTTCGTCATGAAGTGCAATTCCTCCAAATCAGCATCACAGCAAACTCCATGCTAACTGCCATCTGTTTGGGGTGCTGAGAATAACGGTGCTTTGGCCAGCATTTTATCTGTGTTCTTTTCTTATATCTGTAGATGATCTTTCCCATGGAATGGCTTTAAAAAAAAAACCTTAAAATTACTTTTATATGTAATATTCATACCAAAAGTAAGTTATTTTCTTTGCATACGAGGCCACGTAGGTCACAGTCAGTGACATGCTCAAGCCACTGTGGCAAAGCACGGTATTACTGCTGCTCTCTCACTTGCCTTTCATTGAGAGGGAAACGTTAATAGCATAAGGATGACCCCAACATTCTTAGGGATGGAAGCAGACAGAAAGAGCAGTAAGCAGTCAAAACAGTTAGGAAAAAAGAAATAATCACGTGATGCTTAGAAGCAACTTGAGAAATCGCGCCCATTTCAGTCTTCCTGCTCCAGAAGCGTAGCCCTAAACCAAGCACAACATCCCTCTACTCATGGATTTTCTCCTCCCAAACAAGGAGACAAGCATCATGGAATGAAAAGCCTTCTGGCACCTTGGATTTTTCACTGTGCAGAGAATAGAGAAACTGCTATTAACTATCAAACACAGCCAAGGCATTTTCATCACGAGAGCACTTTGACATTTTGAAGCCCCCTCCTTCCATGCACCAATGGCCTGGACAACACTCCAAGCCTCATTTTTGAGATACTTACACTTTTTTTCTCCCCCCAGCACACACTGCAGAAAATGAGCCTAACTTATTTTAAGAACAGCTCCTCCTTTTAAGGCAATGGAAAAGTTTTGAGCAACATAAAGAAAGCTGTGCTTAAGCTCAAAGGTCTGAACACAACAGTGTCTTTTATCTAATAAACCTTACACTACAGTATCCTAGAAAGTTTCAGCATGAATGAGCAACCCAGCAACCCCTCCCCAACGCTTCAACTTTGCTTACCTTACATCTCAAATGCTTATTGCTCTTGCTTCTCTCACACACCGCTTCCTTCCTGTTCTTCTAAACACAGTGCTGTCTTTTCTGTCTCTACATTCAACTGCTTAGCTGCCCTTCCTGTCTCCTAGTGACTAAAGACAGGTCAATGCTTTGTTTAAACTTAAAAAATATTCCAGACATTTTAAATAGCTTTTCTAATAGGAAATGTGAAGCTGCCTTATCACGCTACACAAAGTTAGCTTCATTACTGTATCCCAAAGCTGTACGTAGGACCCTGTATTCCCATTTACTGATTGATGTTTTCCAAGCAGCTGCCTAAACAGACTACCATGTGCTGAAGTAGAAAATCAGAAGTGATACATACCTGAGGAGTACAGCCATTAAATACAAGTTGATTACTTTCTGAATTAAGAGTAAAATTTTGAAAGACCTACAGAGAACCATTACTAAACACTGGTACAGATATATCAGTGTCTAATTAAAAACCATTGTAGGCTAGCAGCAATTGCTCAACTACTTGACCTTCTGACATTTAGCAAAACAATCTGTAACAGATCTGAAAAATAAAGCATGCCCCCTAGCTTTTCCATATAACACACTGTGCTTTCCCATAGATTCCCATAGATTAGATTCCTATTTCAAGGCTTTACATTTAAAAGCTGTTTACTGCATACAATTTCATTTACAGAGCAACAATCCCCTTATTATACTCCGTTTTCTCTAAAGTGGATGTTAACATATCCCCAAGTTACAAACAGTTTGTGGCATGCTGTAGCATACAGCCTGGCTGTTCAGAAAATAATTAGACAAATTCACCACCAACAGCAGCAAACCACAAAATACTGATAGGACATCTTGGCTGTAACCTGCTGCTGTCAGGCAGGAATATCCCATGTCTGTTTTTCAGCTAGATGAAGCCTAGAATTGCTGAGGAATACAGCAACTTCTGCCAGGTATCTTCAAATCCAACTTCTTGGTCAGGATTTGTACAAGGATTAGGAGCTAAACCACATATTTGTGCTCGCTAACAGAATGTTGCTACATTTCTCTAGGCAAATAAGCACATATTTACATAATGCTGCACACGAGACAAGCTTCAGTTAGCTCTTCTACATGTAAACCAAAGTAATTCTGTTCTTACCAGCAACAGTGACTGCTGGCAAACAGCTAGACGGCTGGTGATCCCATTTACTGGGCTGTTATGGCTGAAGCTTGCGTAACAAAACCAGAGAGACTGCAAAAATGCACCCACTTGGGCTAAGGTAAGTATTTATCCACACAGGACACAAATGTACTGAAACCCCAGGTGAGAAAGGAAAAAGGAAACGCACTTACAGCATGTGTGTAGCAGTTAGCAGCATGCTCGTAGCAAGTGGGTTTGTAGCGGCTGTTGGCTGGAGCTGGGTGGTTCATGAACCTGTGGAGTAATTAAGGAGTATTTTTAATAAACCGCCTTTGGAATGTCTGTCGTGGAGGATATCTCCAACCCAGCAACACGGCACATATCGGTACAGACACGTTTAAGGTAACTGTTATTAAAATTCCACGTTTGCCCAAATACGCTCCCTCACCAGAAATACAGGGTAAAACGTTTCTGTGACTGCGCAGGGGATGGCAATGTACAATCAAGACTGCTCTCATTTCATAGAAGACAATACAGAAGTCATATCTCCCTCTTCAATCGTTTGGTCAAAAGAAGAATTAAGGATTTATTTCCTATACTATGAAAGTATTCCCTTTCATAATAAAGACTTGGATTTTTCTTGAATTGTGGCCTTCATCGTCACTGCCAAGGGTCACTCATTTTGAACAGTATTCTCAGCTCTACAGCAATATTGCAGTTCTGCAGCTTCAGAATAAACCAATTTGAACCTCTTCTCTATTCCTATAGCAGCAACGGTGCTGCACACAGCACCCCAGCTCAGACTGCAGCCACGTGCAAGAGATGCTCTCGCTTGTAAGTTCTCGTACTGTATTCCAGAGTACTGCAGACTACTGTGAAACTGAGCACTGACAGTCAGACAGGTATCCAACAGGGCAGGCCCAGCTCTACAAACACCTCTGTGTGCTCAGAACTGAGAGCAGCTCTGTTGGCAATTTTTATACACACGGCTTGTGAGGGGAACCACAACCAAACCCCCCACAGCACAGTGCTACTCTGTGCCTCAAAGGGTCACAGGGGGGCTGTGGGAGCCTTGCAGGAGGCCAGAGGCCAAAACCCCCCAAAACACAAAGGAATAAGCTTATCCTCAGCATTAGCTTGATTATTTCTGTTGTTCAACATTTCTGTGTATTACCATCTGAAAAAGCTATTAATAATTGAAGGCAGGCTGCTAATGGGACCTCCTGTTATCCATTAGAGGGCTTTTTAGAATTTTTTTTCCTCTTCATTTATATTCATTGAGGAGAAAAGGTGATGGATCCTTTTCACAGCAGGGCCTGGTATAAGGGAAGGTTTTAGGATGGTGAACAAACGTTTTTGAAAAGTCTCTTATTAGGATCTCGTATTCATGCAAATTAAGACAGTGCTATTAGCAGCAGAAGAGGACAAAGGCATTAACAAAGCTATCTGTTCCCTATCATCTACACAAAGGGCCTTTTTCACCCTTGTTTGTGCCCTGGCAAGAAATATTCTTTTATCTATGTGGTAAATTCATCCTGGCAAAACAAACACCAGATTTCAGACATGCTTCACACATGCACCTTTAATTACAAGTAATTCCAAACATCTTCCTTAAATAAAACAGAAACAATCAGTCTTGACCATCTCATTTAAAATAATAATGTTACTGTTGTGACTATTGAACAGAAAGCTCTACTAGACTCCCACAACCACTGAAACGTTCTTCCATTCTGGATCCATCTGCTGATGGAATTACCCTTTGATGGATGAAGCAAAGAAGGCAGCAGAAAAAAACAACCAGCGAATACTGATCTAGTCTCAAAGATCTAATTTTGTTTTTTTGTCTTGTCAGGAAGCACACTTCCTTTACTCGGCTCAAAAGGACTCACACTTCCTTCTAGCAGCTGCAAACCACGTTGTCTCTTGTTATATCATTTTTCCTTGTGCTCTCCAGCAGCAGGAAGGGCCAGTCAGACCTCCTAAGCCACACATAGCAGCACACCCCCAGAAACGGCAGCAAGGCGGGCAGAACTCCGCGCAGACAGCAGCAGCACGCATTCAGTGGGCGAATAAATTTAGATAGCAAAGCGATCTGCTGCGCTGCCGCGGCTCTGTGCTTTCGAGAGGAAAAAAACACCACCAGCGGGTCAAGACAGGTCGGCGCTGCGTTTCAACGATATCCACGTAGGTTTGACGAGAAAGAAAAAGCTTGACAGTCAGGCTGATGATTATTCTTTTTAAAGCAAAGCGGCAGGTATCTCCTCTTTGTGAATCCGGCCCATTCAGCTCCAAGCACAGGCACTCCCCGTAGCCGCTGCCTACCCGCGCTTGGTTCATGCCCACACCATCCCCTCCACGGCTCAACAACCGAGCCGCAGACGTAACTCGCATCAACGCAGAAACAGATGCTTCTCCGGAAGCGTCAATGCAATCACACCCGCGTAAGGCTAAGAATCCGCTGCAATCAGCTCAGCTCTAAGAGCCGCGGCCGGCTGTGAAGGCGGTGCATCCCGGCCGCGCAGCGCAGCACAAAGGCGCGGACACGCGGCTCCGCCAGCCTCGCGCGGTCCGAGCATGCTCTCGCCTCCCTCTCCCCCCCTTCCCTTTCAGCTTTATTTCCCTTTTAACGCTCACACCTCGGCTTCCCAAGCGAGCTGGGATGGGCGAGCAGCGCAGCCCCGCAGCGGAGCGTTTACCTGCGCGGAGAAACCCGGCGGACAGCGGCTCTTCGCTCCGAAACGAAGGCAGCTCCGCATCCCGAGGCGGGGAAGCCGAGAGCCACAGGTCGGGGCACCGCGGCACACGGGCGGATGCGTGACCCTTCACCCACCGAGAGGGGAAAACGCACCGCCGCCAAAGCAACCGCCGCCCGGCCGGGCCACGCCGATGGACGGAGCCGCGCTGCCCCGGGACGGACACCGTAACGCGGGGACGGAAGGAAGAGAAGGGGAACGGGGGATCCCTCACCTCCGGAACCGCTCCTGGAGCCGCCGCATGGGTCCGGGCCGCCCGCCCCGGCCGGGCGCTGGGCGGGGGGTCGGGACGGGAGGCTGCGGGCGGCTCCTGAGGCGGCGAGGGCCGGAGTCCGGGCCCTCATTGGCGTGCGGGCCGCCGCGGCGCGGAGCGACGGCCAAAGCCGTCCGTCGGAGAGGAGCGAGAGCCGGGCGACCCGCCGGCCGCTTTAACCGCTCTCCGAGCTCCCCGCAGCCCGCCCGGCCCGCGCCTCGGCCCGCCCCCGGCGCCCGGCCCGCCCCCAGCGCCGAGCCCGGCTGAGGCGGGACCGTGGCGGGGGGACATGGCGGCCCGTGCCGGGGCGGAGCCGTGCAGAGCCGCGCCTCAGGCGCTGCGCGGTCTGCGATTCACCCGAAGAAGCCGGAGGCTGAGGGATCGCGATGCGAACGGGCCGATCTGTTGAAGTGCGGAAGCGCGAAGGGCCCTGCCGCGAGGGAAGCGGGAGCTGCCGCTCCGCCGGGGCTGCCGTGGTTGCAGCGCTGCCGATAACCGGCTGCTCAGTTCCAACCCCCGGCTGCACGCCACTGAGGATCCGTATCTGCTCACAGTTGTCCGAGCAAGGGTTATGTTGTGTAAATGAAGAAACCCAGAAATGGTGTTGAGAACGTCTCCATAAGTTCCATTGCCTATACCACTGTGGGACAAAGCGGGGCGTCAGTGAGGAGAATATGAAGTTCTGTTCGAGATTGTGTTGTAATTTAAGATCTTGTTTACAATGGGATTCAAACAGCTCCAGCCCTCAACAACAGCAACAGTGCAGGCACAGCAAAGCAAACCACCATTAGGCAAATGAACCATCCAGCACCGCACTGTTCGTAGGATGGAGGCAGATGGGACCTGCAGGAGTGTTACCTCCAGCTGAGCTGCCACCTCTGCCTGCCAGGAGGAATTAGCACCGTCACTTGGCTGGCGGTCAAAACTAAATCCAATCTCCCACGGCTGTGGGTCCCTTTTACTAAATCTTCCTCCACATCCTGAGCGAGCAAGCAGTGAAGTGGTAACAGCTTTGTAAACTGCCCCCACGAGGCAAAGAGCTTGTTAATAAGGAATTTGACTTGTTTTCTCATTGAGCAAAAGGAATTTAGTTCTTATCAGTGTGTGAGGTATTTTTACAGGATGAATAAGACAATCCCTATTTGATACCTAATAGAAGGAGTTTGCATAGCAAATCTGTTCCAAAGGCAGTTCTTGACAGTCTCGGAAGTGAAGTCAATGACTACAGGAGCTGTGTGGTTTGCCCTTATTATTTCTAGGTCAGATTTTACCCATACAGAAGCTCCTGCAGAGCCTTTTCAGAACTATCTACTGTCTAGGGACAGAGGAGTTCATTCTCCTGGATGTTTAAGCCAGCGCTTTTATGAGCATTAAATTGGCAGCATGTGTCATTACTGAATCAGAACTTGGGCAGCTTTCATAGGATTATGCAAATAGGGACACAAACGTGGGGTCTGAAGCCACAAAAGTTGCAGTTTTCATTCTATTACAAGAATGTCTTGGGTTGCACAAATCTATCAAGCCAACAGATGAGACTTGCTGGAAGTTTGCTTTTAGCCAGCCAAGGTGAAATTTTAAGAGCCACATGAGATGTCAGTGGTGAATTGGATTCTGTCAGGAAGTTTCACTAAACATCTCACACAAGAGCTGAGTTTCTTCCAGCCATTTAGCGCAGATAATTTGTTTATATATCAGCCTGCATAACACGTAGTCTCTTGATTTGTTGAACAGATAACAGACAAGCATAAATCTGTGCTACCAAATGGATCTACCAGTGATATTGCTAAGTAATGTTCCCAGGTACGTACTTACTTTTCGGAGCTGCTGGTGGTGACGGGCTCTGTTGGAGCAGCAGAGAGGCACACTGTGGCTTGAGAAGTTCTGAGTCGATGTAACACAGCAAGGCCAGCAGCGCGGGGCATTAAGGAGGCATGGGAAACGAGTCTGACAGGTGAAACTCCTTGAAACTCCTTTCCACTCCCAGCCTACTCACTTCTGGCAAGGGAAGAGAAAAATATCTTTCGCTTTGTTCTTACTTTGTAACAAATCTGAGAATCTGGACTTCCTCTCTTGGGAGTCTTCGTGCTAATGGAGGAGGGTGGTGGTTTCCCTGAGGTTTGATTTAGAAGCTTTAAAGATAAAGCTCCTTCCCTTTCTCAAGTTTAGAGAATAAACTCTGAAAGAATGGTGGTTGTCACTGACTGCTTCATACATGGTCATAGAAGAAATGCACAAAGACCTTCTTGGCTGGTAAAACCTAATTTACTGACATAATTCTGGAAGAAACTCCTATTCTTCAAGTTTCTAGTACAAAAATTGGTTTTGCAGTAACACAACCTGTAGGACCAGGACAACAACAGGTCCCAAGTGAGCCCAAGGCAAACCTCGGTGTGCTGCCCTTGGCCTGTGCTCAGGCACACCCCCATAGTGCTGCAAAGCAACTCTCATTCCCCAGGGGGACTTTGCATGTGTGGGAACACATGGTTGCAGAACACCCTGTGCTGGGGCTCAGCGTGGTGCAGCCTCCTTGGGCCAAGGCTTCTGCACAGCACATGAACATCTCTCTTTTTTTCTTGCTGCAGACTGGCTCAGATTGCTGCCTTTCCTGACAATCTTTGCGAAGGAGAAGAATCTTGTACTGAAATGCATGTCAATAGTCTTGTGAAACAAGCACCTCTCCCTCCCTCAGCCTTCCCCCAGCCTAATTAATAAGGTCATCCTGCTGAAGGCAGCTTATAAATAGCTTTCCAAACACTAATGGAATTAGTTCTGCCCTGGACAACATCTCCAGGGTGACACTGGTGTCTAGGAGGGACTGCCTCCTTGGCACACGGTAGAAATAATGTTGAAGCAGAAACATTTACCTGATGTCACAGCATTCTTGCTGCCAGCATTAAACCTGAAATGAGATTACAGAGTTACTTAGTAATATCAGAGAAGATTTATCACCAGTAAAACAAGTGATATTAGAGGGTTGTGCCTTGCAGTAGGTTAGGTTATGCTAGATAATGAAAATCTACTGAAGGTTTCTTTCTGTCAGTATTTGTGACAAAAGGGTATTTTTCATGGCTACAAACACTCAAGATTTTGCAGGGATCTATGTTGGGAAATAATATGAAGTGCTACAGGTTGGTAGGAATCTTTAATATGAGGTCAATTGGTAGGAAATGAGTAGGGTAGCTATAAAGTCTCAGAAGAGAGAAATGTCTTAAAATTACTCAGTTATTTAAATAATTTGTTGAGCCATTGAATCCAATGACTGAATTATTAAGACTTTAAAATTTTGGAATTTTCTATTAAAAAAAAACACACAATGAAATATGTAACAGAAAATATAAACTTACACCAAAATACAGAGAGAAAACAGTCAGTCAGTCGTTCTCTGACGTAGGGACTTCAAACTAGTGAGAGTTAAGCTTCTAAACAAGGTACAGACATCATTATGAGTTAAAATTTCATCATCTATTTGACTAATGAAGTTCAATTGTATCTTCAGGAAAATAATTGAGGAACTGTTACTTTGCAGTCATTTGGCCTGTGCCTCAGATGACAGTCCTGCCATGCGCTGCATTTGAAGACAGGCCTGTTTTAGGTAGTAAAATCACACAGATTTCAAAATACAGACCTAAAAAAATAAAGGTCAAATCTGATATTAATCTATCTTTTCCAAGAACATAAATGGCTTTAAAAATTATATCACATGACATCCTTGATTGTAAAAGCACCATCTCTCATATTCTAGTTGTTGAGACTATTTATAAAACAGATTTTTTTTTCCTTATTGTGATTAGCCAAGGTGGTTTCATTTGGATTCTTGATGTACCTCCCGTGTACTTCAACCAGCAATGTTTTCTAGCAGGACTAAGGAAAGAAAACTTTCTGTTGGAGTGAAACATTCCCCCTTACAGATGTTACAGACATAGATGAAGAAGCCACAAGGAGATGCTCTGTGTGACTGAAATGAGATTACAGCAACAGGGAAGGAGGGGAGGCCTGGCCCTGCCGCAGCCACGCACAGCTCTGAGTCATCAGCTGATGATGGCAAAGAACTTGGATTTCGTGAAGAAACATCCTGCTTTCAAATATTGATTCTGTAGTGTTTCTTTTGTGAAGCGTTAGTCACAGAGTCCCAGAATTCAGAGCCTGTTTAGAAATAACAAATATCTGTTTGTTTTGGCTTTTAGTAATTGGACTGAAGAGGAGATGATCAGGGATGTTAACCTTTTCTTTTTTCAAAGCAAAGCATAATGCATGCAGAACAAATGACTTCTCTTTTATATTTTATACATATACCCATTTCTGGTGTCTCAGAAGTAAATGGATAACACTCACACTAACACCAAATCCAGAATAAAACTGACCTACCTTTAAGTCCTTTTCCTCAGGCAAAGCTCTGTCTGTAATCAATGTTCATGGAATTTAGGTGCAAAAACATTTATTCTCCTTCTTTCTTCCCACCATTGTGTTTTTCCCTGCAGATGTGCCCTCCATCCATCATGACTCTCAATATCTCATTTTTGACATCACAATCAATGAAGTGAAATAAGCTGTTACTTAATGGGCCTGACATAAAATCCATTTAAGTTAAAGGAAAGACTCTCATTGTTTCCTATCAGCTCTAGGTCAAGCCTAAAGAGAGCAGAGGGAGTGGAATTTACCCTGTCATTCGTCATCTGAGAGGAAATGGTTTCCATATCCCATTTGGACCACTTAGAGATTTTAAATATATTTAGAGAAAGAAAACAAATTGACTTCTTGTCAGTGGATAAATGGTTGAAACTTCACTCCAACCGGATATTCTCTCATTTTCAGATTTTTAAGATTAGTTTGCCTGAACTGTGTGATTTTTTTTCTCAGTATTTTAGAAAAACCGAGCACAGGAGTGAGAGCCATGATGAACAGAAGCCAGCTCTCCTGACCAGGTATCCGAATGCCCCACGCAGCCATGAGACAGCAGCTCAGGAGCCTGCAGCCTCTGCCATAACTGCTGAAGGCTCAAAGGAAGAAGCCCAGGAGGTGGGATGATGTTGGGTGCCTGATGGCCAGTGGGCAAGCAGCCACCCAGAAGGGCACAGCATGCCTCGGGCTGTTTTTCAAGACTGCACATTCCTATTCTCCATATTCCAAGGTCTCATAGCAACATGATCAAGGAGAAGATAATTTAGCTTAAGAAAAATCAAGAAATAACAGACAATGCTCCTGTTGAAGAGCTGAAATGGAGGTAACTGCGCACACACAGCACAGCTTTCAGAAACTTTTCCTTCTAAGCAAAGTGAAGAGAGGCAAACCTTGCCAGAGCTTACCTTGTTCTGCTGCACTTGACGTACAACTTTTTCTTATCTGCAGCTTGTAAACATAAAATTGCAAGGCCACATTTTTGGGAACGGAATGCAAAGCCTTGGAGGAAGGCCACGCAGCAAAACATGTTTTCTCCATACTTCCCCAGCAGCCAGGCTGCAGCACTGGCAGGTCATAGCCTGGGAATTCCTGATCTGCCCTCAGACCATTCCTCCCGGCTGAGGTCACCCCACTCTGTCTTTCTATTTGCATTTAGCAGGATCAATTTTATAAATTGCAAGACCAGATACAGCTTTGGCATATGCCTGCAGGGTGTCCCAGCTAACACAGTGGCAGCACAAAATCTCTCCACCTGCAGCAGAAAAGTATCATGCTAAAGCTGCAAAATCAAATGCCTTAATATTAGGAAGTACCAGAATCGAAGTCACTCTAACCTGCTCCTTCTGTATATGTCTAATGTGGAACAGCATGTGATACCATCATCAAACTGCAGTTTTCCTGCAGGAAAAATGACACACTGGGTAGACTACGTTCTTGTTGGGAGCAACTATTCGGTATTTCACTTGCTCTTTACTTTTCATTTTGTGGCCTGAGATTTCATCCAAACTGGGAGGTCTCACAAAAAGCCTTCTTAACAATCCCATCTCATCCTGGGAGAGCAGAACAGACCTAACCTAACGTGGGCACAGGATGTGCTGTTGCTCGGATGCTCATGGCATGCAGATGGGTGCTTGGGATGACTGGGTACAAACACAGCTGTACTCATGGCTGGGGATCTAAAAGTGACCTTTAAGCTCTTGCCTCCACTCAGTGCTACGCAAAGCAAGCTGAACTGTATGTTACACAACCAAGCCAAAAGAGCTAGAGGTCTTTAACAGCAAGAGAATTGGATCAAGGCTTGTGTAACAAGAATGAGACCTTAAAAGGAGATGTTGTTTTAGGCATCCCTGTGCTGCTAAGGAGCAGAGAACAAATATTTGTAGGACAGCCTTCACAAATCCCATTCGCATTACCCTCCCCCAGCAATAACAGGCTGCCAAACAACTTTCTGCTAAGTTTTGCTGCAGGTGATGAGCACGCCTGACTTGGAGAGCAGCCACGCACTGAACCCAGCCGTGGCACAGCAGGACCAAGCAGGGAATGACCCACAGCCACTCCATAGCTGCGACTCAACACACCTTCATCCTGGCTGCTCAATTAGGCAGCTTTATGGCCCCAAACCAGCTTTTCTTGTAAGCTGAAAAGTGAAAAACTAAACCAAACTGCTTAGGGCATCTGCACCAGTCAGTCTGTACCACCTGCAGCTTGGGCTTGACAGAGGGGAGATGGAAAGCAGCACCTGGGGCACCATGGGCTCTGCCCATCGGCCCTTCAGTCTCTACACCACAGTCCAACCCCCAGCGTGAGCTACCAAGGCCCACCACTAAACCACATCCCTCGTGCCATGTCCACACTCCTCAAACACCTCCAGGAATGGGAACTCCACCACCTCCCCAGCAGCCCAGCTATCTGCCCATATCAGCACAGAGCCACCCAGAGCTCTGTGGAACCAGGCTCCCTGCTCACAGTGCATCAGCCTGCAAAAAAGAGCATGCCACAGCATGGGCTACAGTGTGTCTGCACCAACTGAGCACTTTTG